ACATTTGTTGTGCCCTTCTCACTTTGGTATTGCATCTGTACCATGGAAAAGCGTAAACAGTGTGGAATACTTTTCCACTCTGAAATTTATCATTTTTTTAAAACTTGATAAATGAAGTTACCAGAATTCTTTTCAATCGTGCTTTACCTCGACTGTCAATTCGTGCCCAAACGAACAGAAAAATGCCGAGTGCACAAACTCTGCTGTTATTATTAAAACGTATTTTATGAATAAAACGTCCAATTTTGCCTGAAAAACAGAAGAGGTTAGAAAACGCTATTTTTATTAAAGATTATATATATAATGTAAGAATAAACTTACGTCGACCAACACCATTCCATTACATGCTAACATAAGTGATGAGTTCCATATTACTATCAGAAAAATGTAAGATAGGTAAGGAGAAATAATTTTTCTTGTTCTGAAAAAATAATAAGATAATGATACTATTGAAAAATGTAAAAATAAAATCTAACCTACTTTACAATAGCTTGATGGTGTTTTATGTTTTCAATTAAACAGTCGTATATACAATCTTGATACCTATCGTCTTGATAAATGTCCTTTTGGTACTCCGGACTTCCAAACTTTTTTGTGTACCTTTCCAAAGCCCTTTGTGGAATTTTTGAGACGGAATCGTTGAGTATCTTCCACTGGGTCGTAAGCGATGACAGTATTATTATGTACGGGAAATCCATGGCCCATATCTGAGGATTTACGATAATGCAGATTACGAAGAAGATAAACACTGCAGCCAAATATCCGAAAGTGGTGTGAGGAGAAAAAGGAAAATATACTTCAAGAGGTGGATAAATAATCTTTGTGATTGTCAGATCTACTTTACGATCTATCAAATAATATATCAGCGGTTGGATCACGGCACAAGTAAAAGTAATTGCGTAAAGTATTGTTATGAATGGTTTTATTACGGACAAAAGCTTATTGTCAGCTTCTTCTTTAAATTTTTTAATTTCTTCTTCCTTCATTCTTTCGCCTTGGTACTTGTAGTATCCTAAGCCGACATTATGGAAGAATTGGTCGAAATTTTTAGTGTGAACGTATCCATCTATGATAACAAATGTTAGGCCTAAGAATATGAGGACGAACCCGACAGAATCGGCTATCCCGTCTAAATCTATCCTTTTGATGCTTACGACCGTCGAATAGCAAAAGAGGTAAGCTGTAAAAAAACAACTGATGCTCGTAACGTACAAGTACAGCCGGAGCCACTTGTGATATTTGGCGCCGAAGACATCAATGTTCCAATAAACGGAGCCTAATGTGCAAAATATTCCGTACACCTCTTTGTAACCTTTCACCAATATTTTTTTATCCTCCGATTGATCCATCTTCGAGCAGGTGTCGTGACTTTATAGAATTGAGAAAGGAACCGATTTTGATGCAAATTAGTTATTCTTCATTAGGACATCTTGTTCAAATATTAATGGAGGAAAACTCTGTACACATCGGTGTTCAAAAATTCCAGCGATTAAAGTTTTAAGCTCTTAATCGATACATCCTCTAGCATGGGAAAAAAGAAACACAATTATAAATTTTTTAAAAAGTATCTAAAAACTTACCGCACGAAATGGTATTTTTTCGTAGAATGTTGTTTCGAACAAAATTTTCTTTTTTGATATAGAAAAACGGTTTACCACTTCAAATTAAAAAAATAATCGAAATGAAATAAGGAAAATTACCAAAACCTATCAACAAAGCAAAGGACTTGGCCAGTCATCCAAGGTCTTTTTGGTTAGAATGTCGTCCATAAGATTGTAATACAAAAAACCTTGTAAACGCTAGACTTAAAAAAAAAATTTAATACTTCTTAATTGCTAGACTTTGGTCTAAGCCTTTCCATCTTCTATTTGCCTCAGTTTTCCGTAACCCTCACCAAGATATATACTCGTTCCTAAGAACTAAGACGATACCTTTGGGAATCCGCGGTACTGAAATGTGGAAATTAGGAGGGAATACCTTGCCGGCGGTTGAGGGTTTTAAATTGCTAGATATCCCACCGTGGGCTTTACCTACTGCCACAATTATCCAAGATCTGGCCTTATTGAACAAAAGAGAAACACCTTCTCTGATGATCAAGGAAGAATTCTTGCGAATTTTAAATAACTATCCCAATTATAAAATTTTTTATACCCATGGGTCTAAAAATGAAATTGAAAGGTGTAGGGTGTGGGATATTTGCTGATCAGTATAACCTCAGCTGGTCTCTATTGAATGACGCTAGCGTATACACAGCTGAACTTCATGCAATCAGAAGATCATTGAGCATTATAAAGGAATCGCCAGGAATTTGTAATGCCATTATTTGCTCTGATTCGAAAAGTGGTCTCGAAGCAATCAAAAATAATTTCTCGGTTGACCCATACATCTTAGAAATTCACAAATATCTCTATGAAATCAGAACACTCAACAAACATGTGGTATTCTTTTGGGTTCCTAGTCATGTCGGCATTTCTGGAAATGAAAAAGCTGATCAACAGGCAAGGAACGCCGCAAACCATCCACAAAGAACAGATCAATTTCCTCTCCGTCCAGATGATATAGTCGTTTATGTTAAAAACATTATCAGACGAAAGTGGGCGACAAGATGGAATGTCTGTAGAGATAGTATGAAAGAAATTAAGCCAGTTGTACATAAATGGCCAACTGAGGAACTTGAGAGAAAAGAACTTGTGATTATCTCTAGATTGCGAATAGGTCATATCAGGCTAATCCATAATAGACTTTTAATAGGCAACAACCTTCCAACTTGTCCTCGATGTATGCGAAGTGGAGAACGTATCATTTTGACAGTAAAACATATTTTGGTCGACTGTCCCACTTTACCACCCTTTAGGCAAAGGCTCAACCTTTCGAGTGATTTACAGGAGTTACTGGGTCCCCAGTGTTTCTTTCGAAGAGCACTTTTCGGCTTTCTCAAATTTATTGGAATTTATAATGGGATTTAGGCCTTTTCCCAAATTGTTATACCATTGAATGCCTGCTAATGTTTGAATGAGAATTGCAAGATTTCTTTTTTCAGAAGTTTTTGAGGCTGCCGGAGCGGAAAAATGAAATGGAAGAAAATACAAATTGCAGGGTAATGAACTGCAATGCCTAAAATCGCAATTTAAATAAGAAAAATAGCTCCCTCAAAAAAAAAAAAGTGTTATTGTGTTTTGTTTCTTATTATTGTTATGCAGAATTAGATTATGTATCATATTTGAATGGAAGAATAAAAGGATAAGGATGAGACTGTTGCTAGTCTGACTCCATTATTATTATTATTATTATTATATTATTATTATTATTATTAGCCATACAAGCCTATGGGAAATGTTTAAATTATGGAACAAAAATTCACAATTCTAATCAAAAAAGAAACAGAAATAAATTTTATATGTAATTTAAAATGGGATTTTTGCATACATTTGGCCTTCCAAATTAAGAATTTAAAAAAAAAATTAAAGCTTGGATGGCAATAGGATAAATTAGATTACGAGTGAATGTTTGGAGTCAGAGCTTTATAGCACTTAGAAGAGATATAGCTAACCTAAGATAGAAGGTTTGGATGTTAGAGCGTGAAATGACCTTAGCCGTTAAAACGCCCTTAAAAATTAATAATAATAATAATAATAATAATAATAATAATAATACTTCTTAAACCTACGATGGGTAAAAGGTTTTAAAAACCACACTCTTAACGGGGTAGCAACCGTTTTTCGGACGAAAAAGTGGAATATTTATATTGAAACAACCTTGGATACAGAATGAAACTACGAACATAGGGCTTCAAGTAAATTTTCGAAAGTTGAGGATCAACTGTTCTGGAGTGCCTTGCCTTAATTTGTAGAAACTGCTGATGCTATTAGAGGTTTCTCCAGTTCTGAACGAATCATCAGTATCTTCAGAACAAATCGATTAATTTTTGAATTTCTGGTGCCATTTTTTTAGAATGAAAAAGACTTTCAAATGTTTGAAAAAGTAGGGTATTACAGTTCAAATAAAATTTGAACACCAGATCGGCTTAATGTGCCAACTTTTCCAACCCTAATAGCCCTGTACATTGATCAACAATTATTTTTGGAACCATACATAAATTAATTACCATAACATATGCACCGTAAAAATTAAAAGGCCATGCATTTTATAAAAATCTACACTATATGCGGTATGTAATTATATATTGCAAAAAATGCAAGCATAATTTTTTTTCATATATCATTTGTTAATAATAATAATAAGTTACTGTTTTAAATATTTTATTTTGTGATCGTAATATTACACGGTACCATAGATAGTTTTACCATAAAATATGCGGCGTAAAAATTAAAAGGCCATGCATTTTATAAAAATCTACACTATATGCAATATATAATTATACATTTTAAAAAATGCAAGCATAATTTTTTTCATATATCATTTGTTAATAATAATAAGCTACAGCTTTAAATATTTTATTATGTGATCGTACTATTACACGGAACCATACATAGTTTTATCATAAAATATGCAGCGTAAAAATTAAAAGGCCATGCATTTTATCAAAATCCACACTATATACAATATATAATTATACATTTTAGAAAACGCAAGCATAATTTTTTTCATATATCATTTGTTAATAATAATAAGCTACAGTTTTAAATATTTTATTATGTGATCGTACTATTGCACGGAACCATACATAGTTTTACTATAAAATATGCAGCGTAAAAATTAAATGGCCATGCATTTTATAAAAATCTACACTATATACAATATATCATTATACATTTTAGAAAATGCAAGCATAATTTTTTTCACATATTATTTGTTAATAATAATAAGCTACAGTTTTAAATATTTTATTATGTGACCGTAGTCACGTTCCACCGCCATACACAAGTCGTTTAAGAAATTTTATCTTGCGTATCATGATCTCACGTACAAAAGAAACGTTATTGTGAAAAGTGTCTTTTTCTAAAGGTGAACACCGAGGAGAAAGGGCTCTTCACCATTTCCCAAGAGGAATTTGCAGGATAATGGCCGCTCTCTATTATTATCATTTCCCATTGAAAGTAAAATAGGTCTTAGGCGAGAACAAAAAACATAAACAAAGGCATGGAACTGTAGGTGTCACGAGCTATCGCAAACGTTTTCAAATTTAAATCAGGCCCGTTCTCTCGAGTTTTAAAAATCTTTTGACCATCTAACCACAAATGCTAAATCAATTACCATTGTTAAATTACCTACGACTCGTTTCATAGAAAGCGGATAAGTTGATGAATTTTAGTGGAGGGGAACTAGTCGCAGATTGGGTACTCGTGGGGGAACCGCATTCGCCCGTCCTACTTCAAGTTCACGGTCGTTCTCGGAGTTCGGACCCTCTGCCACCAACCTTCCTCACGGCTTTTGTGAATAGGCAGTAAGACGACGATTATTAATATTTCGATATTTTCTTTAAGACTTTGGAAAGGCGGTGAGTGTTTGTTTCTTACCCGACAAATTTTATATTTGTAGTTTGGTACATCATTATCGTCCGTATATGCTTCCTGTTTTGGTCTGTCAGACGAATGTGGGGTCTGTGGTGGACCTAAAAGATTGAAAACGGCCAAAGTACAGTTTCATGACAGACCTAAAGGGAAAATCTTTAATATCATTCATGAACTTTTTTCTTACCAATACAAGTAACCAATAATCAAAATTGACATAAAGAGTTGAGAAGAATTTTTGTTTATATTACAATTTGTAAATATTTCAATTATGTAAGCTTTAGTAGAAATGATAAATAGTGTAAAGTGTGCCGTTCAATCTTTTTAAAAAGAGGATTTAAGCTTTATTCTTTTAGCATTTATTTTAGGAATTGAAAAACATATATAAACAGTACATAAATAGTAATCATTGTCAAAAATTATAAAATGAATCTCACAGTCAGAAAATCGTAATTTCATTCTAATCTTAAAGTAAAATGTTAAGAAGATCGCATCAAACACATACGACTGAGATTAGAAAGCGTTGAGACCTAATTTAAAAAAAAATCTGAGCATAAATTAACGGAACTAACCATACAATCTATATATTATTACGGCCTGAAGTTGTTTTCAGCCCAAAAGGCGGTTTAAGCGAAGAACCAAGATAAGTTTTCGAGGCTTTTTTCTTTTATTGAGGACGCCGTTCTGCCTCAGGCCTTTGACTCGACGTGATCCCTCTGCCTCTGAAAACTTAAAACTTAATCGATCTGACTGTTGTAAATGGTGAGAAATACGGCTTTAGTGAACGCCATCGCGAACAGGTAGAAATAAAGCATGGAGAAATAACGTGAAATGGATTAAAACATGATGCAGCCGGACGATGTACTAAAATCATACGCAAACATCCCGTGGTAACTTGCGGGCAAGTAGGCGGCACTAGGCCTAAACAAATATAAAACGATAATGAACGAATAAGCAATATATATATATATATAAAATAAACAAACTCAATATTGCTGTTTTTGCACTATAATTTTTAAACATTGAAATAAATTATTATCTTTTGAAGGCTTTCATTTGGACGTTCAATTCAACAGAACCTTTCCTAAAATGGGAAATGTTAACTAATCCTTTTGTTTAATTTAAGTTTATTTCATTTCAACCGTTAAACGTTTAATTACTGTGTTGTTTTTTAAAAAGGTTTGGCAACACTTGCGCATAATATGTAAAATATGTAAAATTCAAGTCTCTGGACTTGAAAAATGGTAATGATGTTAGTATTGGACTATAGTAAAATTCATACTGTAAACATTATAAATACGTACTAGATATAAAACAAAATAAAATGGAATGGATAATTTTTTATTATGTTATTTTTCCTGTAAAAAAGTGTATAATTTTCTAGGACCTACTACTAACAATTCAATATTTCATCCATTCATATCCAAAGAACATGAGCAATGCGTATAGCAATATGCATCGCACTCAAAACTTTTCTTTTTTTCTCACTCTTTCTCATACACCCACTCAAAAACTCACTCATTCTCTCTCTCCCTCATCCTTTCTCTCTCTTTCTTTCTCATTCACCCACTCAAACACTCATTCATTCTCTCTCTCTCCCTCACCCTTTCCCTCCCTCTTTCTCATTCACCCACTCAAACACTCACTCGTTCTCTCCCTCCCTCACCCTTTCTCACACTCTCTCTCTCTCGTTCTCATTCACCCACTCAAACACTCACTCATTCTCTCTCTCTCCTCACTCTTTCCCTCCCTCTTTCTCATTCACCCACTCAAACACTCACTCGTTCTCTCCCTCCCTCACCCTTTCTTACACTCTCTCTCTCTCTCTCTCTCTCTCTCTCGTTCTCATTCAGCCACTCAAACACTCACTCATTCTCTCTCTCCCTCATCCTTTCTCTCTTTCTTTCTCATTCACCCACTCAAACACTCACTCATTCTCTCTCTCCCTCACCCTTTCTCTCTCTTTCTCATTCACCCACTCAAACACACACTCTTTCTCTCTCTCCCTCACCCTTTCTCTCTCTCTTTCTCATTCACCATCTCAAACACTCATTCATTCTCTCTCTCCCTCACCCTTTCCCTCCCTCTTTCTCATTCACCCACTCAAACACTCACTCATTCTTAAACTTAAATCCAGAGAATTATTATTTTTCTTACAATACAGCTATAAACCTTGTAATTTCTAATCTAAACATGTACTTTTTTTTAATCAAATATAAACAAAAGCCTAATGATTATTCGGAAATCGTGAGATGCGGTCTGGTGTGATGTAGGTTTTAGAAAAACATTTTATTTATCGTGCCAACGTTTCGATCTTTATTGAGATCATCTTCAGAGCCTGGGATTTATAAACATTGTTTACATTTAACAAATACATGTAGGATGTGGAAAAAAGTGAATTTATACAATGCAAAAAAATATTTTTTATATTCAATCAAAGTATTTCTATTCACTCAAAATGTTTGTTTTCTGCGTAAGTGTGCAATTCTTGCGTGTCGTGTTGAGAGTGCCAGTTAGATATTGCTGTTTTATGTTTATAGTTAAAAAATAGTTTTATAAATATATACATATAAACATAAATATATATAAATATAAATACATAAATATAAACATACAACAGCAATACTCACTGGCACTCTCAACACGACACACAAGAATGGCACAATTACGCAGAAAACAAACACTTGAGCCCTGAAGATGATCTCAATAAAGATCGAAACGTTGGCACGATAAAGAAAATGTTTTTCTGAAACCTACATCAAACCAGACCGCATCTCACGATTTCCTAATCATCTACTAACGGTCACTAATCACCATACAAAAGCCTAATTTTTGAAGATTACGGGCTTGACATGCAACGATAAACTACTCGTTTAGAACAAAGTCCTATGCGTTTAATAGGTATTTAATTAAACGCCTATTAAAATTACAATATCTGAAGTAACTCGACACATCTTTGTGCCAGTAATTAAAAAAAAAACTTTTCTGTACCACTGCATCTTGACACGATTATTTAGTCTTGGGCTTTACCGTAAAAAGTGACTCACGGCAATATCAAAGTTGCATGTTTATTCAATTCAGTAAAAACGTCTTTTTTCATACACCGTATGTGATACAATTTAACAAGGAGTTTTATTTAAATGTCTATAAAAAAAATATTAAATACTATTTGTCCAACTGCAATGTTTTGTTGTAGATCATACTTTTTGATTGCCTACTACAACAATAGTACAAAAACCTTGTAGAACATCAAATTATACATGAGCCAAGACTGTGATGTAGGTTTTTTTTTGTTAATTAAAGTCATTATCAAGAAAATAAATGACAAGTTGCTTAATTTCCAAACGCGATCCTAGTAGATTGCTGTGGTGAATAGTTTTCGGAAAGGTTTAATAACCCAAGCGGCAGTGAAAGCAGGATGCTCTGCGACGTCGGAAATAATTAGCAGCACGGAAAACACTAACACTATTTTTTGTTTTTTTTTTCCCAGGGAAAAGGAAGCCGCCACACGGAGATGACTGTTGTACGTGTAACGCAATCTTCGGGCAATTGGGATGCAAAGCCAGCAAAAAAAAGGTAAATTTGGCGAAAGAAGTATTCAAATTATAGAGTAATATCGAACCGCGACGGAGGTGAAAGCTTCGAGGAGTGACTAGCTTGCCGCTTATCTAAAAAAACTTCTTAATTCGATTTATAAAAAGGTTCATGATTTATTGTATATAATTACAACTTTCTAAACTCAATATATCATTTGACCTGATTTATTAACACTTTTATATATTTATTATTTGATTGTAATGCCTTGGAAACAGGCGGACAAAATAATGCACAAACAAAACATTGAAGATAGGCAGAACACGATGATCGGAAAACACCAAAGGACCCGTTCATCTTCCTGCAGACCACAACCAGAAATCTCACGCCTTTCTAATTGTTTTTCAAACCTAGAACTGAAATTGTGAAAAAAAAAATTCGAAATATCCCCTCTCACTTCGTTTTCCTTATATTACTAAGAATTTTCCCTTTTGTACTTTGTATTTTATTGTATCGGGTTTTCTTCTCTGAAGATTGCTGTAAAGGACGCATTTTTCATTCCCAGTTGCGATGAATAATTGAGTTGAGAAATAGTCCAATAAATTCTTCTAGGTCAACATGGAGGAATTCAAATATCGCTCTGGGAAACGTATCAGCAACGTATGCTGGCAAACATATGACGAAGCACTCGCATGTTGCTTGAAAAAAGCTTGAATCTGATCAATTGTTGATTGGCGATCAGAATGCTTTCCGTCTTCTAAATCAAAATGTCTTCTTCTGCACTTAGCAAACCTCTTACAAACGGTGCTTTCTCCTAAAGCGTCATCACATGTGTTACAAATTTCCCTCGCAGTCTGAGATTCGGTTTTCCCTTTGCGGCAATAGACAAAAATTTAAATAACCAAAACACCTAGTTAAAATGCGAGATCTCAAACGAAGCTGACGAATTAAAATACCAACTCTTTTCAGAATGTGTAAACAATAATGATTAAATAAACATTGCTTCAAAACAGAAGAGGGTCAAATCAAATTATTTCTAAATGCGACAAACTGATTTTGAAAGCCAATATATAAAATATATTGAAAATTATTTCATACAGAAAATTAATTTTCTATTATAATTAATTGGGCTCATTCTAATAAAATCTAGTCAGTTTTTAAAACAAATTCTATAAACAACTTGACTGGTTTCATAATAAATAATAATTAAAAAATCCCTCATTATTTATTTTTTAATTAGACTTACATTAAATTAATTGTAAATATCAAATTATCAATTGGATATCGACTGAAACTATAGAAAAAATATCTATTCATTTTGTCACTATCGTGAGTCGGTTTGCGAATAACGTTTGACTTGTTTATTAAATTGAAGACTTAATTGTTCAAAAATATAGAAAATGTTAACAGTGGCGGTTTATTTTGTGCTACGCTGTCCGGCCTGCGCTTTTGATTCTAGATCATCATCGAAAATACACGAACCAGTAGCGACGGGCTAATTTTTATCAGTATATCAATTGGTGTCAACAATTCATCGAAATGTAAAGTACAGTTTTTAATTTCACAATTGTTCAGTCATTGATTACACAGTGCGCACGAAAACAAACCTCCACAAATCTGACACTAAATGGACCGCATACAAAGGTAAAGGAAATGTACAACCTAACAATTCACACAATATTCAACTAATTAGAAATTAAAACTGTACTTAAGACCACGAAAAAAAAACCACTAAGACACAACGTTTATAAAGCCAACCCATTTGACGAAAATGGCATATAGGCCATAACATGTTGATGTGGAGAAGACATCGGACAGACAAGACAAAAAATAAAGGAACATACAAGATCGTCTAGGGACAGGCAAATGAACGTATACCACTCACTTCACAAAAACAGAAATGCAGACAAGAATGAAATTACTATAAAACGTACAAAAAGGATGAAAAACCAACTTAGAAATATTCAAACACAACAACATTTAATACTAAAAAGCCTCATAAACACAAATTAACAACAGTTCATACATAGAGTCATTATTCAAAACACTATATCAATTAAAAATAAAAAGATCGCAATGACCGACTGGAACATCAAAAACCGGACTTAATCCACCAAAGCCACCGGCAAACAAACAAAACTTACTTCACAACTTCACTGACTTCACAAAAATCACAAGGATGTGTCTAGCACCAACCTAGCGTGAATAGACAGAAATTATTTTTAGTCATTAGTGTAATATTTGCTCTAACCCGGGCTGGAAAATGAGATCGTGTCCAAAAGTCAATAAATGAAACTAGTTTAGGAACGTAATTGAAAAAACGGAATGTCGCAATCATCGTAAAATTAATATAAATAGTGTTATTAGCCGTTAAAACGCCCTTAAAAATTAAAAATAATAATAATAAATAGTGTTATTATCTTCGTTCATGTCGTAATTGATGTTTTACAAAATACTAATGCCTTGCAACTTCGGAAATTTTGCAAATTCAGTTTACAGATGGAGACGGGATGAAGGATTTAAATGGGCTTCCTTGACTTGATTTCTTTAAAAAAACATAGAAAGATTGCATTTGAAAATTTAAAAAAAGGATAATATAGGGTAATTGTCACGTGACGATTTTCCATTGCCAAAAGATTCGAGTAGTAGTACCGGAATACAGTGTAATAGTATGTCTGTACCCGATGTTATTGGCCAACGCGTTTCGTCAATGAGACGTTTCAAACGATCCAAATTGTCTCTTTTAATTATGCGTTTCTTAATAGTCTTAAATAGTATACTCGAAAAAATTTCTCTTTTTTATCACACTCGAATTTCAGTGGGAATTTTAAGAATTCCTTCAGCGCGCAAAGTTTGAAAATTTATTACGGAAAAATTCAATACAAAGTACACAACACCTGATTATCGTCTTAACATTTGAATTTTAATATTATTTTAAGGATAATTTGTTATTACTTTCATCAAAGTCAGTCCAAGTTGTTACTTTTTTTTTATCACACCTCCATCTTGAGGAAGACTTTATCATTCTTCAAATTTATTTCAAGGGGCACAATTTATAGTTTATGACTAAACTATGTATTTTTCTTTTTGAATATTGAATAAATAATTAAGTAATATATACATATATACTGAAAAATAAATTATATATAATATTAATTACAATTGAATAATGGAGAAAATAACCAAACAACCAAAATTCTCAGTGTTATCGCAACTTTCATATGCCTCGCTCAATCTTTATTCAGATCCTTGTTTGCTCAATTTCAGTCCCAGCCTTGTCGAATGTTTCATCTATTTTCTAGTCCAAGAAGCCTTTGTTTTTCTGGTGGCTAAGTTGAGATTTGCTTTAGCTGTCTACCGTTTTTGGAATTTTTTTTAATGTGCACAGTGGGATAGCTACATTCTCATTACATTTTTTATATAATGCAAAGATTGACAGGAATAATCTGTGCCTGAGAGAATTGAAAGTTGGCCTGAATTCATAACTATGACATTTACTCTTTTAATTTACGGAAGGAATCATAATTGGTTGTGCCATTTATANTTGGACATACGGAATAGAACTGTGGGGAACCGCTAAACCTTCCAATATCCAACGTCTCCAATCCTTTCAATCTAAAGTAAATGCTCCTTATTATGTCTCAAATGCTACCTTCCACAACGACCTTCAAATTCCTTATATCCAAAAATTATTCCCAAAAATTTACCAAGTTTCACAAAAAAAAACTCCCACCAACCAAATAGTCTTGCCCAAGCCCTGTCCGATAGAACCCATCCCTACAACCCCATAAGGCGTCTTAAGAGGAAATGGCCCTGCAACCTCCTTTCCGAGTAAACTGTTAAAAAAAAAAAAGTGAAGAGGGAGGATAACATTGATTATTTTCTCCCCTCAATGTAAATAGTTGTACATAAGTTCATTATCCACAAATTACATATGGTAAATAATAATTACAGATTGTAATAAAAATAAATAATAATAATAAATAATAATAATAAATAATAATAATAATAATTTACGGAAGGAATGATAATTGGTTGTGCCATTTATACTGTGAGCTCATAATTTTTGGCATTGACTATTGTGCTTCTACAATCCCAAACTCTAACAGTCCTAGTCCAACCACTGAAAGATACAAATTGCCAAAAAACGTCTGGCAAACAAAACCGGCAAGCAGACCATTATGTTCATGGATGATCAATCTAGAATTAAAAGCAGTACGCTAGTTGGTCTTTATAGGTTCATCAACTCATATTGTATTAGTTGTGTAGGAAGTATATTTTACTTTTACAATAATTAGGTACAGCTCATCCATAATATGACCACAGACAATATTTACTTTATCAATTAATTTAATATTAGTTTAATTAAATAATTCACTTCTTGTGAAATGAATTGTCCAATAAAACACTTTGTATTTACATATCTATTTATTTATTTACGGATCGAAATCCACTATAAAAAAAAATATCGTTGAAAAAAAGATTTCTCTCTAATGAAAGAAACATAGTTTAAACAAACTGCAAATTACTTTTTGTGGATTCCTCCAGCTGAAGTTGGAAATTTAAAAGAATTTAATTAATTTGTTGATTTAAAATAGATAATAGTTTGATCCATAAATATAAAAGTTAAGCTAATAGCAACACAAATAAAATTATAGTGTTTTCAGTACAATCAACAAAATAATACAATTATTACATATTATATTTTTTTTTATTATATACATATAATTAATATATTATTATATATATTACAACAAATAATTCAAACAAAATGCACACATAAACTGCTGGATATGGTGAAATGTCAAAATGTGTCTGATAGACGAAAACCATGAGGCTAGGCAGACAATTCATAAATGACCGAACTTTAGTTGTCCCACAAAGAATTATCTTGATTTGTCTAATTTGTGTACACTACATGTTTTTAAAAGATACAATATATTTATTTTGTGTGTATTTAACCCAAGGAAATTACTTTTTAATAAAAAAAATCTATTTGAAAATGCAAACTGGCTACACTTCTGTCAGACAAAAATAATGGGTCTTTACTAGTGAAACAGTTTTTATGTTGTTTAAATTAATTTTTTAATTAATTTTATTTTTTCAGAGATTTATTCAACTCTATTAACAATTTCTTAACTCTAACATGTGAGATTTTGGTGCTGATGGTTAACTTGTTCCTCTCACTCGTTGAATCCCTTATGAAATTGGTTCTGCCATCACAAGAAAAACTGATAAACAATGACATAATTTTAGTAAGAATGTTAAAATATTTGAATATTGAAGAAATTCGATTAATTTTGAAAATTATTAGGTCACTGGGACAGGCCATGGAATCGGAAGGGAGCTGGTTCTACGATTGTCGACACAAGGTTGTAAAATTGTCTGCTGGGATGTCAACGAAGAAGGGAACGCTGAAACTTACAAAATAGCAAAAGAAAAAAATCTTCATAAAAATCTTTATATGTACAAGTTAGTATTTTGCAATCAAAATCTTTAAATTCAATTAGTTAATTAATTTCTAAATTACACAGGTGTGATGTATCATGCCGTGAAGATGTTTTGGCGCTTGCTGAAAAGGTGAGAAATGATGTCGGTGATGTAACCATACTTGTCAACAATGCTGGCATCATGACATGCAAACCTTTGGAGAAACAAGGACATGACACTGTTAAAAGAATATTTGATGTTAACACAATGGCACATTTCTGGGCAAGTTTTTAGTTTTGAGTATCTAAATTCACTTTTTTGATTGTACATTAGTCAAAATGGTTAATTAATTTGTTAAGTTATATAATTTTATAGATGCTAGAGGCTTTCCTGCCTGGAATGAAGCAGAAAAATAAAGGTCACATTGTGGCTGTGTGTTCTATGTGTGGAATAATGGGCATGTCTTATGGGGTGCCTTATTGTGCATCGAAATTTGCAGTCAGAGGTACATACTACAAATGAATATCCAGAATTTTTTATTCAATTTTAAAACATGGCTTACAGGCTTAATGGAATCTCTGTACGAAGAACTCAGGAATGACCGACTAGCGAACAAAATAAAACTCACAACAGTTTTCCCAATCGGGACTGACACAGGGTTGGCAAAGAACTTGAAAAATAGGTGATTGGTTTATTAAATTTAATTATTAATGAATTTTAATGATATGATGTGCTAATTCACTTATGTCAGGTTTCCAAATTTGGTTCCCGTACTCACACCAGAAGAAGTAGCACTGGCAATTGTCATGGCTATAAAAAAGGAGACGTTTCAAGTTTCCGTCCCATCATCAGTGATGGGATTTAATAATGTAATGAGGTATGCCCAAAATTTTCTAATAAAATATTGAATAGAATGATTACTTTTTTTAAATATATATTTTAGGCTGTTTCCAAGGAAGTTTCAAGATCTTATATTAGACTTTATGGACACAGGTGTATACCCTGACTGAAAGATAATGTGTTAATAAAAATTGTACAAGTTATTCCCCAGTACTCATTATATTGCAAGATGCTAGTTCCTAATATTAGATCCCCAGAAATTAAGATTTCAAATAAAAATGACAGTTATATGGAACATTTTAAATTTGAAGAGCCAAAAAAAATAATGATTGTGTACCTGAGCATACTAAATGAATACGTTTTTATCAAGTGTTCCGTGAAAAAGTCAAGTAATCAATAAAATTAAAAATAAGTTCAAAAATGTTAATAGCAGTTGATCAAAACATTCATTTATTTGTTCTGTATTTTAGTTTGGTACAAAAGACAATTTTGTTGCAAGTCTAATAAGAATATTGGTAAGATGACCAATTTTCCTCAAACTTCTGACAATGTTCCATCATGTAAAATAAATCCATTGTAATGATTTTAATTATTGTCTTAAATAGTATTTTGGAAGGACTATGATTATCAAATTGTTCCAAGATTTGATTCATAATAGTTTTCTGCTTTATCCTTTTTATTTAAATTAAAAAAAAGGGTATCTTATGCTGTTTCTGTTCTTTAAATATTCATGTTTTCCTTACAATTTATTTATATAAATTCTATTTTTAATGATATGAAACTAAAAAATTACTATTAGATGTAGAATAGAATTTTATTGTTAAGTTTAATATATGATATAAAACTTCTTGATGTGATAAAATCAAAAATATAATAAACACTTTTATTATCATTATTATTTATTTATTGTTCCTCACTTAATATATTTTTAGTTAAGCCTAAAGATTTTTCAAAAATTTCAAACATTTAATTGGGAAAGTTATTTTTTAAATTGTGTTGCCTACAACATACATCAAAATTATTTTTTTAAAATCTATAGCTTAAAAAACCGTATCATAGGGTGTTTTTAATCTAAACCTTATTAATCTATTGTTCTATTGATTCAATTAAATTGTATGATGAAGGCCAACAAATGTACTAAGAGATGTCTAAAGCAGTTTTTAATCTGAAAAGATGTCAGGTGAGCTACACAATTAACTATTGCGTTAAACCTGTCATCAGCCCATTTTGGATAATAGTCCCTTTTGTAGTCCACCATTCCAAATTGGCACGGTAAGGCTATTAGAGCAACAAGGTCTTATTTATTACATAATGGAGATTAGAAATTTTATTTTTTTCTTCTTGGCGTAAAGTTATATGTTGAAATTTTAACAAAACAAAATAACATTTGTCAAGGTGTTATTAACTTGATATTTATGCCATATTTCCAATTAGGTATCAATCAATTTCAACTTACTGATCAATATTGGCATAAAGTTATATTTTGTAATTTTAACAAGACAAAATAACATTTCTTAAGGTGTAATTAACTTGATATTTATGATATTTCAAATCAACTAACAATCAAACTCAAATTACTGATCAATATTGAAAAAAAGGTGGGATAATGAAAGATAATAAAAGTGTTCCTTACAAAAAAATAATAATAAAATAATCAGTGTACAAGAAAATATGAAAGAAGAAAATAACTAGATAAATTTTTATGTTAAATATTTTCACAGAAAAAAAATCACCAATGACTTATTGTCACTTAGATTGAAAAATTGTAAAATTACATTGAGCTCAACACAAATCCAGGATACACGATGTATTTGTTATTCATTTGAAATACATTACATTAAAATTTATCAACAATTAAAATAATTCTTTAACATGCAAATTGATATTCCACCTATTGTACACTACATCCTTTTTTTCTCAATAATCTTCAATCAAAATCTTAAATATTCTATAACATGCTGACAACACTTCATTTTTACATGATAACAGATAAGCTTGAAGTGGTTAACATATCTGTGAAGTGTGTTTTAAGGTATTTAAAACACTGTGGATGTCTTTTTTACTAATTTTGCTTGATGTTTTGAATAATGTTTTTTTGTAATGTAAGCTGTGTATGCTATGCTTTGTACGTGTATTTTCACATTCATTTATTACACACTTAAAACAGTTATAGTTTAGATTAAATTTTCACTTTGAAATGTACAGATGGTATAAAATAACAAAAAAAAAATTTTATTGACAGTAAAGTCAGTTAAAAGTTTGTATAGTTTGAATATATGGTCTACTTGGTTCTGACTGTTGGATGAGAGAACATGGGTCATCCTAGAATAGACAGAGCAATTATTTGATGTTAAGATGGGGAAAAACACCTTTGGTTATTGACCCCTTTCAACAAAAGATAACATTGTTACCATTCTCGTAACCAGTCATCCTCAAATAAACACTCCACATATGTGTAAGGTACTGAACTATAAGATAGTGGCAGAGTGAAATCATCAGAAACTTTTTTTGCCAGTCTGTCATCACTTTCGTTGCCCTTTTTGCCAATTTCTGCCTCAACCAGAGGATGTGATTCCCATGAACCGTGGTCAAGTCCAACATCACCTGAGATCTGTTCTCATGATTATCTGTGAAGGAATTATACTGTGTAACTCATTCCAAAGAGTTTAACACTGCTAGTAGCTGTGTTGGTATACTATGCTGTGTGTGTTAGATTTTTTGTTAGTACCTGTTATTTATTTTTTGTGAAAATCATACAATAAGTTCTTAAATTATAGTTTATAAAGAATAGACACTATCTTACACTCATCTCATACCCTTGCATATTTCTCACTCCGACCATTTTGATTACCACATCCGTCACGTGAAAGTTGAAGTCCGAAATAGTCAAATAAATCAGGCGAAATGCGACATATGCGCCTGGGAAAGTATGTCCTAAAAGACATACAAAGAAAATTAGAATTAGAAAAACAACCTTGCTGACTAAAACGTTTTGAGGCTGAATTAAGACATTAGATTGTATTTGAGTATAACAGCAGCTTCCTCACTTCCTGTGGCATGCCATTTGTACAAGTAAATTCTGCTGTTTATCATCAGATAACAATCTAGTGTTTTATGGCAAAAAGAACAGTTTAAAAAAGTACAAAACAAATAAACTAGGAAAGAAGGTCTAAACAAAATTAAACATGAAAGGATAAGAAATAGATGGTTTAGAGAGAAAAAATTAGTACTCGTGTAATTTAAATAACATATTGACATGCGAGAAGGCAATAATTAATATTTTTAAGGAATAATTTTACAACACTCAAAAGAGAAGAATATCTACACTATAAGGTAGATAGAATGTTTAAAACATCACATAAGGATGATAGAACGATTTAAAACTTCATTTTTTTTTTAAATTCTTAGATCTTTTGGATAAGTCAACGCATTCCCGTTGAAATCAATCACTAGGCCAAAAGGCTATCAACGACTCAATTCAACAATAAAATATAATTGTAAGTTTAAATAACTCTTTTACTGAAATAAGGGACGCTATATTTTTGTTTTATTTTATATCTTTTCACTATTTATTTGGCTGTAAAAATTATTACAAACAAAATTTATCGTTTGTGAATCATCAATGGAAGGGTCATGGGTTCGAAATTCAACGGCCCTCAATTCAAATCCAAAGTACTTTTTAATGAGCTTTTTGTTCAGTGTGAAAACCAGGGCTTAATTTAGCCTCTGCAGTGGCGAACCCCCGTAAAAAATATATATTATCTATAACTTTGAATTTTCAGTGTCAAACATTGATTTAATAATGTGCAGAAGGGGTTGATATAACCTGTGCTGTAACAAACTTAGGTAAACTGGATAACTTCGCTTTATGTAACGAACTATATTTTCCTTTTCGTTTGTTTGCTTCCGTTGTGTTTTTATTTACTATTTTATGAGTAGACATAATAATGCCTTTTTTATTGATAGCTAAGGTTTTAATGGTTAAGATTTAAGGTCGTGAGAACCTTGCTGATTATTTTTCACCTTACTTTCACTTATAAAATTATCTCTGATAGTATGAATTACACGACCAAAGGATTCGGGCCCTGTCGGCAGGGCGGCAGTGCTTCTATTCCAAAGTTCTTTCGCATGAACATGTTCTTCAATTCTTGTCAAGAACCCTGTTGAAGCTGGAGCTTAGCTTAGCATCACCGACGTTTTTATATTCGGAAGCACTCTGAGCTGATGAAGCTTTCTGATATGAATGATATGTCGTTATTTTAGTATCCTCGATTGAATAGTGATTTTTCGAATGAATGATAATGGTGCACACTCAACAAAAATCTGTAGGTGGACCAACAGATTATATTTTCCTTTATGGAGAGTTTTCTCCTGATTCCTCTCAATATCACTAGTGAGGGTCGTGAATTTGTTGTGTCAAATTTGTGCTCATGTCATCCATTACAATAGCTATACATTCTCTCATTATGGTAATGTTCTTACATTTAAGTTTTATTCAACTCAGAAATTTTTATCCTCGCATTTGGTGGTTGGCTAGGTAAACTGGAAAATAACCATAATTGGCGGATATTTTCTATTTTCAACCATGAAGAATATTGTTGGCATTTGAAAGCAGAAGAGATTGTAAAAGTTGAAAGTTAATACGCTAAAATTAATGACTTACTCGCCTTTGTAGACGTCAACAACGTTAACTAAATACCGACAGACCTGAATTATAGAAAAACATACAATTCACAGCAGAAAAAAACAGCATAAATTTCCTAGGCCTAATCATTATCAACAAATTATAATTCAACATATACAGAAAACCAACAGCGACTGACATCATACAAGCCGACTCAGTTCACCCCTACAGATACAAAATGACAGCACTAAAATACAGACTAAGAACAGTACCACTGACTTTTTTTAACGTGTAAAAGCATAATAATAAAAGATAATACATAGCAATAAATAAAATCAACAACGACCTTACAAGCCGACTCAAATCAGTCCCACCGACACAAAATGGTACCACTGAAATACAGACTGATAGTCCTCGGCATTATTGGGACTGAGTCGGTGTTTAAGGAAATTTCAGATTCTCTAAAAACTTAAATATGACAATCAGTAGACATATTTAAGGTTGTTTTGCCCTGATAATGACCTTAAAATAGGTTGTAAAATAGCTTTCTTCTTCAAGACCGTACTTTGACCCAGGGTGTTCGTAACTAAATTACATTTCAGATAGACCAAAAAAGTACCACTGACAAAAGGGAAAAAAATTGAAAAACATAATCATAACGCAAACTCGATAACAAAATAATAAACAAACACAAAACGACACCACAAAAAACAGACACTAAACATACACATGTAAAGAATGTACAAACCACATCTATTCGACCAATCAGGAATTAAAACAGCATTGAATAACACGAATAAATTGTATAATTACCAGGTAAAAACATTTACAAAACCAGCCCACTGACAAAAATTGCGTATAAGCCATAACAAGCGATACCGGGACGAAAAATAAAACACAGTTTCAAGGAGCATACAAAAAACTCTTGTATTTATTTATTTTCTATAATAACTGATTAATAGTTGACTTAATACGTGAATGCAACATTAATATCTTCTAGTTGTTTATCTTTATAGCGTTAGATTAAAAACAAAGAAAATCAGTTGAATTTTATCCTTTCTATAGTAAACTTGTCGAGTGAGTTAATTGGTTTTTTAAATTGTTTTCTTTGACATGAATTTATGTCGATAAGATCTCGCCCAGGCAGATGCTTTGGCCAACGACGGATGTAGCCCAAGCCACGATGGTCTACAGCGGTTTACGGCCACCGAAGTCTCGCTCGAAGAGATGGTAGTGGCCGACCGCGTTGTACGACAGCAAGAGATGATCGTTTCATTGTTCCTACGGTACTTCGGTACCATCATTTAACAGCTTCCATGATAGTTGATCCGGAGTCAATTCCAAACGGTCTATAATGTAAGGTCATCAGAAGTGTTTGTGAAAATAAAACTAGTCTCTAGTGGTCCCACATCAGGGTTCCCTCCTACTGGAGAGGCATCGAGTACAAAAGCGACTACTAAATCGGCATCCCGTTTGAACACTTCAACAATGGGTAGCTGTTCTCTTTACAGATGTTCCCCTCTTGTGGCAATCAGTTGATTTGCTTCATGCGCCAGCCTTTTCAAAGGTCAGTTATGGTACGGCTGGAATCAATGCTCATGCCCGTACGTACTGATTATCATATCTGGATCTTTAATTGAATTAGGCATTGGGGAAGTTCTTCTAGAAGCTCGACCCCATTCGCCCCATTTATTAGGGACTACTTCGAGTTAATACGTGATAATGCTTGCCCTCTTATAGTTCGAGTTGTCATCCATTACTTGGAGGATGTAGGGATCACCACAATGAATTGGACAGCACATTTTCTTGAATCCCATGGAACACCTACGGACTTGATAACGAGACGGGGTAGGCATCGTTTGCCGCCTTCAACAAGCGTTGAACAGCTTTAAACCTCTCATGTTGAAACTGAAACTGGGGTTCTGTTTCACAAGACGAAATCCGATTCGCTTATTTACTCGATGCCTAGGAAGGCCCTCCACGAGGTCAGAGGAGATAAAGCGTTGCTAAGAGAAACACTTGGTAATAAATTGTTAGTTACATTATATTCTATTACTAAATGATTTTCCGCCGGGTGGGGAATTTTCTTTCAAACTATTATAATTAGATAATTTTTATTAAAACTCATGCATTTTTAATCTCGTTTAATTTGGTTTATATTAAAATAACCATGTTATAATTAATATAAGGATAAAATACATATTTTGGCTTTTGTCTTTGTGTGTATATACACTTTTTTTTTAAACATTTATCCTATAACTTCCTCGCATATTCGTCAATTTATTAATGCTACCTTAAGAAAATATGGTGGGCTATTTTGTTATTTATATAGTTTTTTTAATTATATACTTTTGTCAATTTTTGTATTTTTTATTTTAGTAATTTTACCCATATTTTATTCGTGTAAAATTAAAAATAATTGGTTTTGTCAGCAAATCAGAGGAAAATAGTCTCCCATGCAATAGTAAAAAGGACCAACGATCACAACGACAATAAAAAAACCCAAATTACCAAAGGCACCCACAAATAAAACAAAAATGTACCCCCCCCCCAATGCGACAATATAAAAGTGTGGCTTGGCTTTACAGCACTGAAAGGCATCACACAGACACACTGAAGAAGGCGAAAATCAGTTAACACTTCTTATGGTAGTATTATTTTATTATATTATGACTTTTTCTGAGTTGTTGTACTGTATCGTTTAATAGTTTTTCTATTATTATCATACTTGCTTAAAATTACAATAGATTGCATGTTTACTCTATACAAATACTGAAGAAGATAATAGATAATTGCATAACAATGTCTCGTGACAAGATGTATTGTTTCATTTTCTGTTATCTTAGGTTGTTAGTTAGCCATTGTAGTTTGACGAAAGAAAATCATTCATTTATTTTTTTATATTAGCGTTTTAGTCAATAAACATTATTATTGTTGTGCTTTTTTTAAGGTTTTTTTAATTCCAACCATTCGCACGTCTGATTTATTATCTGTTTTAATAACAAACTAATGTCTATTGTTAAATTTTTATGTTAATGTTTCAACTGCTATTTACAACTCAAATGCAATTCATATAAATGATCATCTTTGAGTATATACACTGTGAGGCAAAAAAAGTGGACATGTTTAAAAAGAAAATATAAGATATAGCTAAATTAAAAAAATAATTAAAAAATTAAACTGAGTAAAACAATTTTACCAAAAAAGCAAAAAAAGGTGCTATGGAAACAATGAATAAAATATTCCATTCAGTACAGAGTATTTCCTCCTCTTGCGTTGATCACCGCTTGCATTTAACGTGGCATCTATTTTTTGAGGTTCTGAAAGGAGTGCTGTGGAATATTTTCATACATCTTCAACAGCGTTAATCTTAATTCCTGCAAATTCTCTGGCATCACTGGGCGACTTTTGACCTTTTTGACAACTTGTCCCGTAGATGTTCGATACGTTTTCAAGACAGAACTTCATGCTGGCCATTCCAAATATTGAATTGAAGCCCGTTCCAAGTAGTCACCAACGATCCTGTGTGGGGCCTAGCAATGTCATGCATAAAAAGGTCGCCAATTAGTGGTATATAAGGAAAAAACTCCTGATAACATATCTTCAACGTATCGCGGACCTCTAGGGTGATGAAGATCAAGCTTGTGCGACCTTCAATAGAAATGCCTGCCCAAACAAAACACCACCACCTCCATAATCTAATCCTTTAAAAGGGACTAAATATGGTTGTAAGATAATCTGGAGGATTCCCTGGGAGATTAATTAAAATATTAAGGGTTGTCACTTTTTTGCCTCTCAGTGTATTTTTAAAAAGATTATGCGGGTCAATTTTTTTCATAATCGATGGGTTTCCTCAAGCGACCAGAGCTAAAAAATGCACAAAATTAAGCCAGATTGAACTTTTAATTTCAACTTCCATTTGTTTACAATTGACAATAATAAGGGCATTTCTCGTCAGAAATGAATACGAAGAGCCGGTCCCACCAAGGCGAACGAAGGAGGGGCGGAAACTGAAGTCTACTGACGCCAAAACTGTGGAAAACGACCAGTCGCTAGTCAGTTGCAGGCCAGTTGTGTTGACAGAACGTGGCGCGATGCCGGCTAAAAGGTGAGGCGAATTTTATTTTTCCCCGACGACTTTAACCAAACTAAGGAAAAAGAAAGTGATTTTCTTAGCGTAAAATGCAAAGGCAAACGTTAAATATTCTTAGAAGAAACAATAATTCACTAATCATATAATAGTTAAAAATCGTACGCTGCATTATCATAAAACTATGTTTATTTTGGAGGAAAATACACGATTAATAATTAAATTATAATTAATGAGTAAGGACAATTAGTCTTATCATAAAATTAGTCCAGGATAATAGAAAAAAAAACACAATAAAAATGAAATAACGATGTCTTCTATATTGAAAAAAAGAAAACAAAACAAGTTCTCTTCCAAGAAAACAAAACCAAATCGCGTAAAATAAAATAAAAGTTTTAAAAAGGGCAAAAATGAGGGAAAAGGTGCGGTTGAGATGGGAAGTTAGTGTCCGAGTGGGTCGAGGTCGCGATAGCTCAAGTGGTAGAGTAGCAGCGTATCTAGCCGAAGGTCGTGGGTTCGAATCCCACTCGTGACATTGACTTTTTCATCTCAACTAAAAACCTTAATTAATTGAAAAATAAAATATAAGTTCGATACTCACCGGCCGGACCTCCGATAACCCCAGGACGCAGGTCTTCGGCATCAGGCTGAATCTGACACCCCAAAGAAAAAAAATTATTCCCTATTTTTCATTTTGTAACAAAAGTTATGACAATAAATCCCGTGAAAAAATAAACAATCCATTGAAGCCTTGTTTTATTGAAAATATTTTGAACCGAAGTGGCTATCCAAAACAAAACCATACCGGCCTATTCAGTTTTGAAGAAAGATGTAAACATAAAAACCCCTGCCCCTGAAAGAGACAGCCAACATTGAAGTTTTCTGTTTAAAACCGACCATCAACAATAAACAATCCTGACCTGAACAATCGATAAATACTTAAAAAGAAGAAAAAATTGAATTTTAACATTGATCGGTGTTTTGTATATATGCTTGCTCGCGCGTAGGACAGAGTAATTAATTAATAACTCCCATTCAAACGACCACGTGCTCATATTATATTATATTTACTTATATTATATTGTAACCACATTCTCATTTTATACAACAAAAATTTTATTGAGATTTACTGCTAACTACCTATCCATACAACACCGCACATAGTAAATATTATTAATGTAAAGCATGGAGCATAACATATAGCAGCTCCAAATTATTTTTCTGTTAAATCAGTCTATTAGTTAGTTGCTGCGATGATCATAATTTTAACTTATATGTAAGTTACTCAACATGATTGTTTAAAGATCGTGAGATGCGATCTGGTGTTGTGTAGGCTTAGAAAAACATTTTCCTTGTCGTGCCAACGTTTCGATCTTTATTGAGATCATCTTCAGGGCTTAAAGTGTGTGTTTTCTGTGTAGATGTGTCACTGTTGTGTGTCGTCGAGAACATAATAAATACTCTTAACACGACACATAACAATGACACATCTACACAGAAAACACACACTTTGCTCCCTAAAGATGATCTCAATAAAGATCGAAACGTTGAACAATATAATAAAATGTTTTTCTAAGCCGATATCACACCAAACTGCATCTCACGATCTCTAAATAATCATTAATTGAAGACTGGACATCAATAACGGGCTAAGTGCCAAAAATATTTTCTTGAGTTATTCAAATTTTTAAAACTTTGTCATGTAAACTTTTGTTAATAACCTAAGAAACAATTTTCGGTATTTATCTTGGGTGGGATACATACTGTTATTGCATTTTTTTAAAACGTCTCTGCCTCCTATGAATGATAATTACAAATTTATTATGAATAATTTAGAATGTGCTATATTCCATATCCTTTTAGGCAAAAACAAGGTAAGTGCCAAGGTAAGTTTATTAAGCATCGTTCTTGTCTTCACAGCTCCGGGGGCGGCTTTTTCAATTTTAATCCATCTACATTTGGAAATATTTAGTTTCATCGTGTTGTTGTGAGAATTGGCTACTTGTTTGGAATCGTAGAAGTTGGAGCTTAGTGACTACAAAGGGATTAATCGGTGTTGCATTCTTCATAAGTTTAACCAGGTCATTGGGAACTTGACATTTTTCGACTCTTTTAGGTTTCTCAATCTGGGCGATATCTCTGTCACACGACAGAAATGAATGGCCGGAGACCAAAATCAACGCTATCATTAGAGATTATAGTCTTGGTGACACTTAGCCCGTTATAGCTTCAAAAGTGAAAAGGCACATACATCTCATACCATCTTTCGGGCTTTATATGTACTGTTAAAAATGGGAGAGGCACATTTAGGTTCCTGGCAATGGCACTTAGCTTGGTTTTTTGCGTCCAACTCAATTTTTATTTGTTTGGCACTTAGCCCGTTATTGATGTCCAGTCTTCAATTTACGGTCGTTAAATAGTTACACGTACTCAACATGATTGAGGATTTATAAGCAATTTGATAATGGGTTTTTCAAATCGGCGTAGGTTGCCCCAGTAGTTTCTCATCTATTAGCACCCCCATCTTTTTTTGGTAGAACGTCTTACAGTGGTAGATGATCAGTCTGCCTGCCACCGATAACATTACCCAGGCCGTAACAAGAGGCCCGAGCCGAGGAACCCGCACCGACCGCCCCCGCACAACGGGAAGAAGATGCAGGCAGCCTTTGGTCAATGCTATAATAAAATCGTCTACTCTGAAGGAAAAATGTGATCTACTCGTGACTTTTAGAAACGCACCGTGGTTGTATCATCCAGCCAAATCCCTAAGAAAGAAAATAAACATGAACGTCGTGCATTGTGCCCGGGAGAATGTGCTCTTCTGGTTATGTTCGCCTTTAAAGATACAGCGTGGACATTTAGACTGATACCGTATTACTATTGAGTTAGACCGGAAAAATATGAAAATATGAATATTATGATGTTGACATTTAGGAAGAAACCATGGTTGTATCATGTTCTCTGACCCTTTTAGATCTTTGGTTATTGTTACAACTTAACTTACATTGTAAGAATATACTAATAGAGGACATCAAGAATGAAACTTTGGTGACAGTGGCATAATGACCGATAAACACGGTTTTATCAGGTTCTCTGACCATTTTAAATCTTTGCTTATTGCTACTTCTTAATTTATTTTGTAAGAATATAATAATTCAGTGCGTAAAGATAGGGCAACTTAGTGGCAGTAACATGTAAACCGATGAACATAGCTGTATCAGGTTCTCTGACCGTTTTAGATCTTTATTATTACTTCTTCATTTATATTGTAAGAATAGACTAAGTTAGGGCGTGAAGAAAGTGAAACTTTGGTTGCAGGGACATGCAGTCCGATAAATTATTGAGTCAAGGGAGACCGGAAAATACGATCCTCTGGGTGATCTTGCCCTTTAGAAAGACACCATGGTTCTATCAGGTTATCTGACCTTTGATATCTTTGATTATTGTTACTTCTTGACTTATATTGGTAGAATAAACTAATTTGGGCGTAAGAAAGTAAAATTTTGGAGGCAGTGATATGTTGACCGATAACCATGGTTGTATCACGTTCTCTGACGCTTTTGGATCTTGGTGATGGTTATTTTTAAACCTAGTAGGACAATAGAAGTAAGGAAATAATACATCCGGCGCTCTTTCGCCCTTGCACCGGCCCGGGGGCTTCGTGGCTTGCGCCGGACTCTGGCCAACGACACTTGTGTGCCTTATGAATCATTATCAAGGCAAAAAATGACCCAAATGGTTGAATTGCCTTTATATATATATAAAAACCTACATTGATAAAACAAACTAGTGTAGAATCTAAAGAAAGTGACCTATTGGTCGCAGTAGACCGATACTGTAATTGCACTAAGTATTTTGAGACCGGGAAAATGTTCTAGCGATGATTGATCACTTTTAGAACGACACCGCGAAAAATCATTTTCTTTAAGACCATGTTAAACATGTTCGTTATTGAAGCTGAAAACTCGAAAAAAATGAAATTATAAAAATGATTTCAATCTGAGTGATCTTTTATTTATGTGTTAGGGAAAGATTAGTTGGGCATTCGCCATCTTCCAACAAATCACTAATTCTTAACATAGTTATATTTAGTCAACATAATTCACAATGTAGTATGTCTCTCAACTCGACTCTCGTATTCAATTGACTCTTCAGGTTCCGGGGTATGCTGTGTAAGGGTGGGAGAGGTAGACGTGACGTCGTAGCTACGCTTTTGGGCTAGCCACTAGCCAGTCTAGGACCAGAGCAATGTGGACTATCTCGCACATATGTATATATAGTCGTGTGAATGATCTGTCGTGCCGTTGACCCGCGGGCTGTCACCGTATGAATAACGAATACTAATTCTGACAGGACTCACGTTTGTGAATGATGGAAGTGTACGCTTCTAATTTTTGTAAGAAGCAATTTGGTGATTCGAAGGGAGAGGAAGGGAGAAACTAGGAAAATCCAGGAAAATTTATATATATAATCAACGTGTGGTCATGAATAACATTTTTCAACCAAGCGTATAATTTTAAAATAGTCCGATTTATTAGGTGTTAAATTCAACAGCCAAAGCGGACCTCGAAAACTAGTGAATTTAATAAGTTAAATGAAGTATAACTTCACTGAAGCTCTCCGTGGCCATTTCATTTGTTGCCGAGAATCAAATAGATTACAAGACATGTAAAAAATGGCAAACAGGAGGGAAAATTCAAAAAGGTGGGGTTGAGATGGGAAATTAGTGCCCGAGTGGATCGATCGAATCATCGATCAGATATCGAAGTCACGATAGCTGAAGTGGTAGAGTAGCGGCGCATCTAGCCGAAGGTCGTGGGTTCGAATCCCGCTCGTGACACTGACTTTTTTTATTTCAACTAAAAACCTTAATTAATTGAAAGATATTATCAAGAAAACAAAAAATAAAATCAAGAAAAATATATTATAATCAAGAAAACAATTGAAGTTATTTAAACGATTAAATCAGTACTGATGTACGAAAAAAAGTGTTACTCTTTCTCGTTAGGTCGATATTT